TCCTGCACACACCCTACTGGGGATGTGCCTGCAACCAAGGTACATGCCCTTGTCCGGAATTGAACCTGGGACCCTTGAGTCCGCAGCCTGACGCTCTATCCACAAGCCAAACCGGTTAGGACATGTTACCCATTTTTTGATTGGGTTGTTTATCTTCCTTTTGTTAAGTTGTGTGAGTTCCCTGTAAATGTTGGAGATTAAACCCTTATTGGAGATAACATTGGCAAATATGTCCTCCCATGCAGTGGGCTTTCTTGTTGTTTTGTTGATGGTTTCTTTTGCTGTGTAGAAGCTTTTTATTTTGATGTAGTCCCATTTGTTTATTTTCTCTTTATTTTCCATTGCTCTAGGAGCTGTATCGGTGAAGATATTGCTTTGGCATATGTCTGAGATTTTGCTGCCTATGGATTCCTCTAAGATTTTTATCATTTCCCATCTTACATTTAAGTCCTTTATCCATCTTAAGGTTTTTTGTGTGCGTGTGTATGGTGTAAGTTGGTGGTCTAGTTTCATTTTTTTTGCATGTATCTGTCCAATTTTCCCAACACCATTTATTGAAGAGATTGTCTTGATTACATTGTATGCTCTTGCCTCCTTGTCAAATATTAATTGAGCATAGTGGTTTGGGTCAATTTCTGGGTTCTCTATTCTCTTCCATTGGTCTACAAGTATATGTCTGTTCTTGTGCCAGTACCAGGCAGTTTTGAGAACACTGTGAAGGCCTATTGTTTAATGCACCTGGGCTCTGGAATTCATGAGAAATACATTTTGTGACAAGGAAGTGGAAAAATACAGGTAGGAGATAAAGAATTAAGAAACTTAGACTCTTTCACATTAAACTTAGTCTTGTCTTATAAACTTTCTAGCTAGTACATACTTTCCCAAGCTATAAATCAGGGGTAAATGGTCCTTATCTAAGGGACAATCAAACATTCCTTGTGGTTTGGTATTATCTATAATAATGGTCCTTTACATGGCATGGATAATTAAGAGTTCACCATGCTATATATTAACACCAGAACACTGTTAAAATAGGGAAAAATCTAAAATAGTATTAAGGAATAGTAAGCTCAGAACCAAACATTCCTGCCTGCTCCCAACTCAGACAAACATGCACTGATGGAACATAATGCTTTCAAATCCAGTAGGGAAAAAAGGAAGGGATAGAAATGTCAACCTAACATTACCAGGTATGCCATTTTTTAAAGTTGACATTTTCCTAATGTACGTTAATAAGGTTGAGTTGTTAACAGGCTAGTGATCTTGGGCAAATCACTTATCAGATTATTTGTAGCATACAGATAATAATACAGAACTTGGGAGGAGAAGATGCTTTGGAAAGTACAAAGCAGTGTACCAACACTAGGAAAGGGCTTTTACAGGTAAAGCATAGCTTTGAGAAATCAGTTCAAGATAGCTTAAGCCAAAAAAGATTGGATTGCAGGTGTTCAGGAGTGCTAGGTGTTGTGTAAATGTCATAGTCAGTTCAAAAGGACTTTGGCAAAAGAAAAGTACACACTGCCCAGCAAGCTATGCGCTTGATGTTTCTCCAAGGCAGGAGGCAGGCCTGCCAAAAGCTGTAGTATATAGCAGGGATGACCCAACATTCAGTTCCCCTCCCAGCTCTCAGAGCTCAAGAGGAACAGCTTGAAATCCAAATGGGGCTCTCTTCTCATCTAAGAAAAACAGTCTCAAATCTTTCTGACATCTGCACAAAAGGGGTTCTGAGGGGCTGCCCTGCAGGGTCAACAGTGTTTGGGCCAGTTAAAACAATCCTGCTTGGCCCTGAGAATGTAAGAGTGTAGGGAGGATGACAAAAAGGACCTAGTGTTGTGGGTGGCTTCAAGCATCTGTGTTCACAGGATCTGCCCCATGAGCACTGGCTTCCTGATGTACTTGGGAAATAGGACATCCCTGCACTTGACTCATGAAATACAGTTTGGTCTGGTTCAATAACCTTGACCCAGAAACTTCAGACTTCACAAATAAGCTTTTGGAAAACATGTTTAACTGTGTGGACTCTGAGTCTTTTAAATATTGAAAAAAAATGTGTGGTGATATTTTATTTTCTCCATGCCACGCTCCTTCAACCACTCATGTTTTTAAAGGAGAAGCCAGTCTTGGGATCCAGATGTTTGGAACCCAAACAAGGGCTCCTTGCAGAGGAAATCCATTGACTTCCATCTTCAAAGACCAAAATCTCAGCCAGGAGTTAAACCATGAGGTCATTATAGGCATGTTTACTTAGTGTAGGACTAACCTCCATTTAGCGATATATTAACATTTTCTTTTAAAGGCTCCTGAACCCAACAAACAGTCCAGAGCTGCTTCTTATTTTCCTGGCTGTGGGGTCTGACCAACTACTTCCTGCCCCCACAATCAATCAGGAAATGCCCCATTACTTCAAATCTCATGTGTTTCCACTCGGGCCATTTTTATTTGCCATATCTTTCAGAATTAACGTAAGTCAATAAGAATCACCCCTTAGTAAAGTGGACAGAGGATAAGTTCAGGAAATTCACAGAAGAAATACAAAAGTGCAATGAATATGTGAAAAGATGCTTAACCTCACATGTACTCTGTGAATTGGGATGATTTTAGCCCACATTAGCAAAAATATCAAGTGCTGGCAAGGGTATAGAAACATGGGCACTCTTCTACAATGCTGATTTGAGTGTAAATTATAATAGCTACTTGGTGGGGTAATTGAGCATTAGCTTTGAAAATTTAAATGCTTATTGCACTTATATATGGTAATTCTGATCCTCAGTATCTATGCTTGAGATGCATACAAGGTGGCCTGTTCAAGGACTTCCACTGTAGCACTACCATTTTTTTAAAATAGCAAAAACTTTATAACAACCTAAGTGCTCATCAAAAGGGGAATGGCTGGAATAATCTAAGGGGTAGAGAAGAAGATTTTAAGGACATATTAAGTGGAAAGCAACAATAACAAAAACACACACAAAGGCACAGAAGGTACACATATGATTATATTTTGAGGAAAAACAGAAAATGAAACTTTTAAATACATATTTGTACATATCTCTGATTATGCACAGAAAAAGCCCAGAAAGACAATAGTAGGACCGAGAAAGCATCAAGGGAGACTTTTGTGTTGTCTTCATTGCTTGCTGTGGAAGATGATTTGACTTTGGGTGGTGGGGACACAATGCAATATTCAAGGATTGGCAAAAGTTTACAATTGTAATACAAATAAGTAATACAAGAATAAACTGTTTCATGTAATCATAACTGTAAACCTACTATTGCCCTTCCTTATACAGATCATGTATCATAGAAATGTACACTTGAAACCTATATAATCTATTAAACAATGTCACTCCAATACATTTAATAAAAAAGAAAAAAGAATGTATTCAATATTTATTGCAGAATTATTTTTTCTTTTCTATTTTTAAATTATAGAAAGATGTTTTCTCCCCCCCCCCAATATGTTTCTATTGATTTCAGAGAGAAAGGAAGGGAGAAGAAGAGATATAGAAACATCGATGAGAGAGAAAAATCTATTGGCTGCCTCCTGCATGCCCCCTACTGGGGATCGACCCTGCATCCCTGCAATCTGGGCATGTGCCATAACTGGGAATTGAACCAGGGACCTCTTGCTTCATGGTTGGATGCTCAGCCACTGAGCCACACCTGCCAGGCTAGAATTATTTATTTTTTCTAAAGTATTTAGAGCAGAGACAAGGGCATGGATCTTGGTGGCTACAGTGAACATAACTTACCTGGAAGGCAGTAGTGGATAAAGTAAATAGGGGAGAAATCAAAGGACCCAGGATTACAAATAGTCCAAATTTGTAATCAATTTGCTGTATGACCCCAGGAAGTCATTTTCCTTTTCAGAGTCTCTGTACAATCAGTGGATAAGTTGAGAAGCTCACTAAGTTACCTTCCTTTTCTGATATTTTATGATTTTCTAGGTCTATGCCTTTAATGTAAAATGGGTCTGGTTATTTTTTATGACAAGATGGCTTTTTTACTTTCTTCTCCAAATTCTGGCACAGTTTGACATTTCACTTTGCTGCAAATGGAAGATGATTAAAGAGAAGGTGGAATGGTCACTCTGTTCCCCATTTGGCTGTTTTTGAGGGTTTTGTTGACCTGTTTGTGTTACCTCCCTTTGACTGAGTAAGCTCTTAGGCTTGTTGAGTGTTATGAAAGTGAAAATACAAGGCTGAAAGTTTGAAAGTTGAAAGATCTGAATTCTATAGTGTAGCCATAAATTCTGGAGACATTTATTTATTTTTTCTACAGATTGAACCTTCCCTTGAATACTTTCCTGAGTTACACTATAGATGCAGATTTATTCTATAAAAATCAGAAATACAAATAATCACATATGTATATACAAGTATTTATGGAAATGCTGCATCAATGCACTGTGTTTATTGCATTTGCACATCAATTTGAACTGTGCATTGCTAATAGGGGACACTACATTGAATATATTACATACTATTTTAAACATATTCTGTTTTAATATAATATCTATAAGTCACTCTTTTTGTATACTTACCTATATTTTTGGAGTTTATGGCTACCGTGCATTCTGGATATTGGATGAGTCATAATCCTACTCTGTAGATAACAATTGGACCACTTAGTCCCCGGAGTGATAAGAAAGAACCACATGGATATAAATGAGCTATAACAATTTACACATATCTACAAACATATCATAATCCGGTTCTGTACAACCTAACTGACTTTTGCAAATACTCCAGATGAAATCTTGAGGAAACCTTGGCATTGAGTCAATAAAGGAAACCTCTTTCTGGTCCCTCAGAGACTTTGACCAATTTAATTCTGCCTATCATTAGTTAGCAAAGCTTCTTCCAGCTGGTCATCATCGCTTTACTTGTTCCACAGGGTCATAAGAGGAAATTCTAAGCAGTTTAATTCTAAAGAAAACACACACACTTCAGATAACAGCTTCTGTGACTGTTTGTCTTTCAACAATGAAAGAAGCAACTTACTCTCACTCCTTTCTCAGGAAAGCATTTACAGCCCCAACTGCAGTCTTGGCCTCCACATGCCTTTCCATAGGATTTCTTCTCTCCCTATTAAAAAAAAAAGAAAGTTAGTAAACCATGTAAAACAAGAATCAATGTTGCCCCAAGGAACTTAACCCTTGGCCATACTTCTCCTAACCAAGTAAATTTATTTGATGGTGTCATGAGTCACATGAAATAAAAAGTCATCTTAAGTCCGCACCCTTTTAAGTCAGGTTTATACCTCACTCAATAGCTAGTTTGGTAGCTGGTTTGTGGCTCAGATACCCCCTCTTTGGTAGAAATTCTAGTCACAAAATACAAGAGAATTTCTTTACATGTGGCTCGAAATAAACCCTGACATAGCCTGGTGCCTCACTGGACTTATATATTTTCAATTATTGAGAAAACAGTAGCTGTAAGAGAGAATTTTAAAAAAATCAAGTGCTGGAAATGCAATGATAGATAAAAATGGGCACTCTGTATTCTGCTCTCAGAATTCTTCTCCTCAGGCTCTACTTTTAACACACAATTCAAATTTTACAATGACACCCTATGCCCAGTTAGTCAGATCCAAACTCCTCAGGTGATATTGTACAGTACCCTTCAAATTCTATAATTTCCTTTTTTTCTTCTGTGTTAATATGTTGTTGTTGTTATTATTATTATCATTATTATTGTTATTATCTGAATTTCTATAAGACCCCCTGCATGCTCCTGACATGTGCTGACCATCTCCAACCCTGGCTTACTCCGCTTCAATTCACTGGTATTCATTCTCTTTAAAAACTTAAGCCTGTTTCTGCCTCAGGGCCTTTGCCCTAGTGGTTACTTCTGCCTGGAATGTTCTTCCTTAGATGTTTTTTTTTATTGCTGGCCTCTTTTCATCATGCTGGTCTCAGTTCAATCCTGACCACTCAACCTAAGGTAGCCCCCAGTTACTTGCAATCATATCACTTATCTTTCTCACATTAAACATTCTGTCTGCCCCCACTAGAATGTAAGCTCTGTGTTAGTAGGGACCTTATCTATTTTGTCCAACATTGCATCCCCAATGTCCAAAACAGTGGATTGCACATAAGGAATATTTGATGACCACATGAATAGAGCTGGAATTTGAACCAAGGTATAACTCCAAGGTCTTGACCTTAGCCCTTATAACTTAGTGTTTTCTAAGTTCTTTGTCCAGCAGACACTTAATGTGAAAACTCAAAAATGAAGAAACTGCCATTCTGACCCTAGGCACTTTGAAAAAAAGCAAAACATAAATTCTAACTATTGCCTGTAATAAGAACTTATCGCTGGGATGGATTTAGTAACATCTAACTTTTTGTTTAATGTTGGCTGTTTATTTTATTAAAAAGAAGGGGATATTTATGAGTCAGCCTCACATGTGCCTCTTTATTGTGAGCCTTTTCCTAATTTCCAAGGAGAACTATGAATTTCTCAGATGGTCTCTTATATCTTTAGATATTCCCACAGCACTTTATTTCCACAATACCTCAGTAATAAGGTAATGATGGCAGAGCTAAAATATTGCTATTTTAGATTCCAAACATCTTCCTGATAACAGAGAACTTGAAAAACAACTTTTATATGCCTTTGATATGTGACATGATAAGTGCTATTGTACACTTTGTAGTTTTCCCTCCATTTTATGGTATATAGGATAGGCAAGTTTTCATAAGGGTGAGATCAAGAGGTACTGTAGGAGTAGGAAAATGGGGGCTGGCAGAGAAAAGAGAACAGAAAGAGTAGCATTCAATTTAACCTTTACTTATGTTGTCATTTTGTCTAATGCTGAGTACTACATTTATTCAGATAATGGATAATTTATATTTGCTTGTCCAAATATTTCTGTACTTTCCAAATAGTCGTCAATGAGCATATATCATTAGTAAGAAGAAAAAACACTATTTTACTAAATGATAACAGTCATCCACTTGAAACAAAGAGGACTCAACAGGCATTGCCAAAGTTGAAGTGGTATCTGTTTGGAACTTTGGCCAATTTCCAAACACTGGCTTTTGGGTGTCCCATAAAATCTGTCTGTCATGAATCAAAAGTTTCCTGATCTCTAGCATGCAGCTAACAGACAGGAAATCATCACTGTCCTCTGTCACTGAGGAAAGTAACCAGAGAAACCTCACAGGCCACAAACAATTTCCTGTAATGCCAGCTCTGGCAGTTCCCCCAGGAGTCTTTAGTTACAGTGAGGGGGAGAGGCATAAAAGGAGAGGCTTCCAGGGAACATGACAGGACCAGGCTCTGGGGACGTCTCTGCCCTAACTTGGTTTGTCTGGGTTCACTCCAACCCCTGTTTAACCAGGCCACGTTATTGGTGTCATTCCCATGATGCAATGCTCTGTCCCTTCCTCTCAAAATCCAACCCCTCCTTATACCCTCAGATGCTAGTACTTGTTCTTAATTGCCCCTGACTGTGTTTATGTTCTTCTTAACAAGAATTACATATATTGGGCAACCCAATAGCATGTAAAATAGAACAGAACAGGACTATGTGGTGAGCACTATCTTTGTCACCACTGCTATGTAAATAAACCTACAAAACTAGATGACATCACCAAGGAAGTGAATGTGGACAAAGGGAAAAGAAGACATTCTAGAATTGAGCACTGTGGCAGTTCAATGTTACGAGAATGGCAGGAGGTACCAGAGAAGGAGTAGCCCCTGTGGTAGAGAGAGAAGCAACATAGAAGGGGGAACTAGGCAAAAAGAGTGAAAAACTGTGCTAAATTATTGATAAGCCAAGTAGGATGAGCTATAAGAACACTCCAATGGATTTAGCAATATGCTGACCTGGACCTGAGCAATTTAGGAAAAAAACAAAACACTAGAGAAATTTGGTAGGACTTCAAGAAAACTCCAAGGGTCCACTTGAGGGTACTGAATTTAAAGGAACATCAGTTATAAACATTGCGAGGTTTCCTTTAGCTTCTTCAGCCATGTGGGTATAGATGCACATTATCAAAGGGTTGGATTTAACTAGGGTTGAGTTCTGCTAGATGAGAATGATAAAGGAAGAAAGGGGCAAGGGATTCAAAGGTATATGGAAACAAAGTAATTATAATGATAGACCATGGAATTTAGGTTTCCTAAAGAGGAACTGAGCACAGGCAGTGGATCAGAGGCAGTAAAAAAAGGTAGTCGATCTTTTGCCCATTTTTTTAAATTAGATTATTTTTTGGTGTTGAGCTGTACAAGTGCTTTATTTTGGATATTAACACCTTCTCAGATGCATCATTGGTGAATATCTTCCCCCATTCATGGTTTGCCTTTCATTTTGATGATTTTCTTTGTTGTGCAAAAACTTTTTAGTTTAATATAGTCCCATTTGTTTTTCTTTTGTTTCCCTTTCCGGAGGAGATTTATCAGAAAAAATATTATTAAGAGAAATATCTGAAATTTTTCTTCTAGGGTTTTTATGGTATCTAGTCTTACATTTAAGTCTTTAATCCATTTTGAGTTTATTCTTACATATGATGTAAAAGGTTGTCTACTTTTATTTTTTGCATGTCTATCCAATCTTCCCCCAAATATTTAGTGAATAGACTGTCTTTACTGTAAATATTTCTCTCTTTTCTGTGTCCAGCGCTGCTAGAGAGTGGTCCGGTTCCTAAGTAGGGGCTGCTGGGGATTGAGAAAATGAAAGAAAGAGATAGACACAGAGATAGAAGGAAAAAGCTGGGGCCAGGTGGGACAGCTGTCCTCTGATGGAGAGACAGTGACCCAGAACCAATACAGTGCATTTATTTTATACAGCAAAAACCAGGAAGTTTTACTAAAGGTCAAGACAAAGGAGATTATGTGCATTCTTGGGTGGGCCCGAGTCCTATTCATTCCTGGTGCTTGGCTGGATTTAGATAACGAAACCCAACCGCTGGCGCCTGGGTTGAAGGTCAGGCTGACAACACTCCTGCCTCTGGCAAGGTGTGTTTCCAGGACATGGCTCTGCCAACACCACTGGATTCAGCTGACAATAATGAAAGAAATGTCCATGTGCCTTCCCAGGCACTCTCTACACTTTACGCCATTGTATGTCCTTGCTTCTTTTTTCAAATATTAATTGACCACATAGATGTGGGTTTATTTTTGGGCTCTACTCTGTTCCATTGACATATATGTCTGTGTTTTTGTTGTTGTTGTTGTTTGTTTGTTTTTTTGTTTTCTTTTTGGCAGCACTATGCTGTTTTGATTACTATGGCATTGTACTGTAGTTTGATATTAGGTAATGTGAGTCCTCCAATATTGTTCTTTCTCAAGATTACTGTGGATATTTAAAAATAACATACAGCATAGGAAATATAGTCAATGACATTGTAATAAGTATGTACAGTGCCAGTTAGCTACTGGAAATATCAGCAGGAAAACTTTTTAAAGTATATGATTGTCTAACCACTATACTGTCCACCTAAAACTAAAACAAAATAATATCGAATGTAAACTGTAATTGAAATAAATTTTAAAAAATTTTAAAAAGGTAGTACAATCAATGGATGATTAATTCTGGTGAGGTTGAAGAAATATATGGGTTTTAGAATTGTGACCAGGTCTAGGTCTCAGAAGAAAGAAGACGGGGTGCTGTAAAGAGGCAAGGGCCTATTAATACTCTACCTAGTGCAAAACAAGACAGTCCTCAGAATATAAGATCTTCTTGAATTAGCTCAATCAATGGCTGTTGAAATGGACACTCCTAACAATTTTCATACAACATAAAATTATGCTCTTTCAATAACATCAGGTTTCTTTAAGACACCTTTCACATCAAATCTCATTTGATTTTCTACCACAAAATTGAACTAGGTATTTTAGATATATGGGTATGTGTAGAGACATTCACAATACCACAATGATTTCATTATGCCTTCACCTACCCTCCTAGACAGTGAATTCCTCTGAGGAGACTTTGGTTTGTTCACCATAAGGAAAATCTAAGCCTCAATTTCCTTAACTATAAAATAGGGATAAGACTATTTTAACTCCCAGGGTTTGGTTGGGTTAGAGATAATGCCCCTAGCAAAATGATTGGCAAATATAGTATGCTCAATGTA